TTGCCCGCCAGCTGCGAAAATCGCATGGTTTTTGGCCGGTAGCGGCGAAAATCGAGCGGTTTTTGGCCGGTAGCGGCGAAAATCGCGCTATTTTTGGCCGGTAGCGGCGAAAATCGCGATTTTTGCCCGCCAGCTGCGAAAATCGCATGGTTTTTGCGCAAAATAGCGCGGTTTTCGGCCGTTAGCGGCAAAAATAGCCCGATTTTTGGCCGCTAGCGGCAAAAATCGCGATTTTTGCCCGCCAGCTGCGAACATCGCATGGTTTTTGGCCGGTAGCGGCGAAAATCGCGCGGTTTTTGGCCGGTAGCGGCGAAAATCGCGCTATTTTTGGCCGGTAGCGGCGAAAATCGCGATTTTTGCCCGCCAGCTGCGAAAATCGCATGGTTTTTGGCTGGTAGCGGCGAAAATCGCGCGGTTTTTGGCCGGTAGCGGCGAAAATCGCGCTATTTTTGGCCGGTAGCGGCGAAAATCGCGATTTTTGCCCGCCAGCGGCGAAAATCGCATGGTTTTTGGCCGGTAGCGGCGAAAATCGAGCGGTTTTTGGCCGGTAGCGGCGAAAATCGCGCTATTTTTGGCCGGTAGCGGCGAAAATCGCGATTTTTGCCCGCCAGCTGCGAAAATCGCATGGTTTTTGCGCAAAATAGCGCGTAGCGGCAAAAATATAGCCCGATTTTTGGCGCTAGCGGCAAAAATCGCGCTATTTTTGGCCGGTAGCGGCGAAAATCGCGATTTTTTGCCCGCCAGCTGCGAAAATCGCATGGTTTTTGGCCGGTAGCGGCGAAAATCGCGCGGTTTTTGGCCGGTAGCGGCGAAAATCGCGCTATTTTTGGCCGGTAGCGGCGAAAATCGCGATTTTTTTGGCCCGCCAGCTGCGAAAATCGCATGGTTTTTGGCCGGTAGCGGCGAAAATCGCGCGGTTTTTGGCCGGTAGCGGCGAAAATCGCGCTATTTTTGGCCGGTAGCGGCGAAAATCGCGATTTTTTCCCGCCAGCTGCGAAAATCGCATGGTTTTTGGCCGGTAGCGGCGAAAATCGAGCGGTTTTTGGCCGGTAGCGGCGAAAATCGCGCTATTTTTGGCCGGTAGCGGCGAAAATCGCGATTTTTGGCCCCGCCAGCTGCGAAAATCGCATGGTTTTTGGCCGTAGCGGCGAAAATCGCGCGGTTTTTGGCCGGTAGCGGCGAAAATCGCGCTATTTTTGGCCGGTAGCGGCGAAAATCGCGATTTTTGCCCGCCAGCTGCGAAAATCGCATGGTTTTTGGCCGGTAGCGGCGAAAATCGCGCGGTTTTTGGCCGGTAGCGGCGAAAATCGCGCTATTTTTGGCCGGTAGCGGCGAAAATCGCGATTTTTGCCCGCCAGCTGCGAAAATCGCATGGTTTTTGGCCGGTAGCGGCGAAAATCGAGCGGTTTTTGGCCAGTAGCGGCGAAAATCGCGCTATTTTTGGCCGGTAGCGGCGAAAATCGCGATTTTTGCCCGCCAGCTGCGAAAATCGCATGGTTTGGCGCAAAATAGCGCGGTTTTCGGCCGTTAGCGGCAAAAATAGCCCGATTTTTGGCCGCTAGCGGCAAAAATCGCGATTTTTGCCCGCCAGCTGCGAACATCGCATGGTTTTTGGCCGGTAGCGGCGAAAATCGCGCGGTTTTTGGCCGGTAGCGGCGAAAATCGCGCTATTTTTGGCCGGTAGCGGCGAAAATCGCGATTTTTGCCCGCCAGCTGCGAAAATCGCATGGTTTTTGGCCGGTAGCGGCGAAAATCGCGCGGTTTTTGGCCGGTAGCGGCGAAAATCGCGCTATTTTTGGCCGGTAGCGGCGAAAATCGCGATTTTTTTCCGCCAGCTGCGAAAATCGCATGGTTTTTGGCCGGTAGCGGCGAAAATCGAGCGGTTTTTGGCCGGTAGCGGCGAAAATCGCGCTATTTTTGGCCGGTAGCGGCGAAAATCGCGATTTTTCCCCGCCAGCTGCGAAAATCGCATGGTTTTTGCGCAAAAATAGCGCGGTTTTCGGCCGTTAGCGGCAAAAATAGCCCGATTTTTGGCCGCTAGCGGCAAAATTCGCGATTTTTGCCCGCCAGCTGCGAAAATCGCATGGTTTTTGGCCGGTAGCGGCGAAAATCGCGCGGTTTTTGGCCGTTAGCGGCGAAAATCGCGCTATTTTTGGCCGGTAGCGACGAAAATCGCGATTTTTGCCCGCCAGCTGCGAAAATCGCATGGTTTTTGCGGCCAGTAGCGGCGAAAATCGCGCGGTTTTTGGCCGGTAGCGGCGAAAATCGCGCTATTTTTGGCCGGTAGCGGCGAAAATCGCGATTTTTGCCCGCCAGCTGCGAAAATCGCATGGTTTTTGGCCGGTAGCGGCGAAAATCGCGCGGTTTTTGGCCGTAGCGGCGAAAATCGCGCTATTTTTGGCCGGTAGCGGCGAAAATCGCGATTTTTGCCCGCCAAAAATCGCATGGTTTTTGCCGGCGCGATTTTTGCCCGCCAGCTGCGAAAATCGCGGTAGCGGCGAAAATCGCGCGGTTTTTGGCCGGTAGCGGCGAAAATCGCGCTATTTTTGGCCGGTAGCGGCGAAAATCGCGATTTTTGCCCGCCAGCTGCGAAAATCGCATGGTTTTTGGCCGGTAGCGGCGAAAATCGCGCGGTTTTTGGCCGGTAGCGGCGAAAATCGCGCTATTTTTGGCCGGTAGCGGCGAAAATCGCGATTTTTTTGGCCAGCTGCGAAAATCGCATGGTTTTTGGCCGGTAGCGGCGAAAATCGCGCTGTTTTTGGCCGGTAGCGCGCGAAAATCGCGCTATTTTTGGCCGGTAGCGGCGAAAATCGCGATTTTTTTGGCGCCAGCTGCGAAAATCGCTTGGTTTTTGGCCGGTAGCGGCGAAAATCGCGCGGTTTTTGGCCGGTAGCGGCGAAAATCGCGCTATTTTTGGCCGGTAGCGGCGAAAATCGCGATTTTTGCCCGCCAGCTGCGAAAATCGCATGGTTTTTGGCAATTTGGGCACTTGGCTTGGACGGGCTGGTTTGCCTTGTGTTCATCAAGGCATATTTTTGTGTCATGGAGCTGGCTGCAGACTCCACACCTCACTGGGCGTTGGCAGACGTCCTTGTGATGTCCAAATCTCTTACACCTGAAGCACTTGAGGGGCTATGGAGGGAGTAAGGCCTGTGTTGGAACACGCCCCAAATGCCAAGATTAAGTTTCTCTGGGATCCATCCTCTCACTGTGAGAAGGACGTGTCGGGTTTTCTGCTTCGTGGTTTTTACCTGGCATCTTTCTGCCGACACATTCAGCTTTTCGAGATGAGTTAGGGCCATGTGCAAGGGATAGTAGATGACAATGATTTTCCTTATTTTGTCTTCTGGCTTGAGTTCGTCACATTTTCTGTAATTCTTAAGAATCATTACAGCTGTTTTGCCTTTAGGCCTAAGAATATATTCGCTTCTAAGGTTTGGCTTTGCTCTGATCTGGAGCTGGGGGGTACTCTTTTTCAAGGTTCACTACAGTGGTGTATGAGGACTTACCTTCAGCATGCTGCACCTTGAAGACTGGCAGTGTGGGATTTAGTCTGGGTAGATGGAGTGCTCATCGGTAGAGGCCTATGTTCTTGATAGGTCATAATGGAGTGGTTCTTCCTGTTGGCTTTGGTCACATGATGCCAGTCGCCATCACTGTTGGAACTTTAACTGGAGAGAGTTTTCCTTTTGTGATTGGGAGCAGCAGCGTTGGTTCCCACACAGTTTATCTGGTGGTCCATTCTATTGGCCAAATGCTGACTGTGGAGTGACGTGTCTGTCGTGTGAAGGTGACGCTCAATGCGCCTGCACTGAATCACTGTTGAAATTACACTGGGGTGATGGCGTACACCTCGCACGTCATCTTCCTGCCTATATATTCAAATGTCGAATGTCATTGAATTAGGGGCTATTCATGCCCGTGGCATGAATAGCCTGTATTAGCCCGCCACCCATATTCATTCTTGGGTGGCTTATCTTCATCAATCAGTCATTGATTGTACTTTTGAAAATGTGTTAACACAAATGCAGTCAAGTATACATATATTGTACCTAACAAACTGAATTTTCCTGAAATAATGAATTTTTTAAACATTTTCTCTTGTGTTATTATAAAGTTTTTTATTGAAATATATATTAGAGGGATATATTTTTGAGTCAAAACAAAGAAATTTGACTAAACATAACCTAACTAATCTTACCTACCAGTAATTTAACCTATCCTAACCTAAGTCAATAATTCATGTTCCTAATATATTAATATTGCAAGGAATGAATGAATTTGTTAAGAAATATTTGAAAATAATGAAAATCACTCTTCCTGTTAGGTAATTTGGGCCTTGCATACTGGGGGGAAGTAGTATGGCTCTAGCTATTAAGTATGACAAATATACATATATACCAACCCGTTCTCGCAAATTCGTAAAGTCAATATTGACTTATTAACAACGTGCATAGGTGATATACTAAACATAATAGATACCCTTAAAAAGATTCATAGAAAACACCGACCTTACCTAACCTTGTTAGTATCTTAAGATAAACATCTTATTGCTTCGTAATTACAATTATTACTTAACCTATACCTATTATAGGTTAGGTAATAATTGTAATTACGAAGCAATAAGATGCTTATCTTAACATACTAAGTAGGTTAGGTAAGGTCGGTGTTTTCCATGAATCTTTTTAAGGGTATCTATTATGTTAAGTATGTCACCTATGCACATATTTAATAAGTCAATATTGACTTATTAAATTTGCGAGAACGGGTTGTATATACATACACTATATGCATACATACTTCTGTAAACAATTTAATTGTTCTTTTTTAATTATAATTACCCAAGAAATACCTTAAATTAAATAACCACAATACAATTCTAAATACAGCTCCAGTATTATCAATTATCCTGTTTTTAAATTTGTATATACATGTATTTTTATATCAAGAAAAGAACCTATTAACAACATTCATACTACCTTGTGAATAAAACAAAGAAATCTTTAAATAATCTTTATATCATTTGCACAAGCCAGTACTGAGAGGTGAAGCAGTTATAATACGCACACACAAAGATATTCACCCGATTAAAATTGATCAATGGAATGAAAACATTGACTAGTGAGAAGTCACAATTTGGTGAACTGCTGCTTCCGTTTCGGACAACTCGGACGTGTGAACTTGCTCCTCGATAACAATTTCACATCGCCTTGGAACTGCATCTCCAACTTTTAGAACTTTCTCAGTGTTACTTGCAGATGTTGAAGACTCAAGGTGTCCCTTTCTTTTGACACGTTTATATTTTAAAAGCTTAGTTTGCTTCGTTCCATCACTCTTCATGGAATGGATGTACACCCCATGAACACTCTTTATGTGAGCTGTCAGGTTACATTGTTGGGAGAAGGTAGATGGGCAGTGATGACACAAAAATGGTTTTTCTTTAGTGTGAGTTCTCATATGCAACTCCAGTTTCCCTTTATATGCAAAAGATTTACCACAAGTCTGACACTTTAGCTTTTTATTGCTTTCATTGTGTGACTGCCGCTTATGCTTACCAACAGCAAGTTTGTGAGCAAATGATTTACCACAAATATCACATGTGACAGGCTTTTCCCCAGTATGTGTTGCAATGTGGACAGTAAACTCAGATTTTCTTAAAAAACCTTTGCCACAATGTTTACACCCATACTTGGGTGCATGGGTCAAGCGATGAAAATACAGTTTATGCTTACTGTCACAGACCTTTCCACATTCATTACACTCTACTGGATGTTGGCTGTACTGATGTATTCTCAAAGATGTTTTACAATCAAAGGATACTGCACAGTCACTGCATGCTAAATTTCCTTCCCTATGTTGCCTGAACTTGTGTTCTTTGGAAAATAGTTTTTCACAACTGGTACAGCGTAATACACTTGGTTCAAGAACTGAAGACCCTTTCTTATGAACCATTGAAATGTGTACCAAAAGAATATCAATCCGTCCAAACATACGCCCGCAATGTTCACAAACAAATTGTTTTTTGCCATCGTTGTGCTTAGTGTCCTTGTGACGCTCCAAATTATGTGGTCTTGTGAATAGCATACCACACAAATTACATGGGAATGCAAACTCAGTAGAATTATGCTTCTCTTTGGCATGCTGTTGTAATAGTGAAAATGTTGAGAATATTTGTTTACAAGTCTGACATGTTAACTTTCGAGTTTTCACAGAATGTTTTTTAACGATCTTTTCCGTTACGTAGAGTACTCTCGATTTCTTTGATTGCTGATTTGCTTTTAATCCATATTCTTTGATGTCAGAAATTTCCATAGTTAAATCATCAGTTACTTCTAATGGTTCTTCTTTTATGTCAACTTCTTTCTTTATGCCATCAGTTTTATCATTATTCGCAAGCTCTAATTTTTCACCAGCATCATCTGGAGATGGAAGACGTCTTTTTTTTTTTCTTCCTCTCTTCTTCCTATAAAATGAGCTTCGATGATCTGCTTTTTCTAAATAATTTTCATCTCCTTGTAGCTCGAAATCATTATCACAATCCCTGACTCTTTTCCCCAAGCTGGAGTCCATTTTAAACAATGGGCCTTTACTCTTCAGGATTCGACCGCTTCTGGAGAATCTTACACCTGCAATGGAATAGAAAGTAATGAAGATATTTCTCATTCCTAAGCCCGCAAGATTACTATTCTATTAATGAGACATTTGAACCTTTCTTGGGCTATTACTTAAGTAATTTAGTAGGTGGGTTGAATATTTGCCAAGAAAGGAGCAACTCCTCTTGGTGATGACAACCCAAAAGTCAAAGAACTTGACTAAAAACCTAGTTTTATACTTCAATGACATCATCAGTGACAATAACTTACTTAACATGTCTGGTTTCACTGACTCCTTTAACTCAAGCCACATTCAAGATGAGGCATAAGACAATAGGTACTGTCACCTTTCATTCAAAACTCAATTTGAGGACTTTCTTGACTTGCAATGTATTTTAGTCGAGTTCCATCATGACTTCTTCATATATTTTTCTTATTAGTAACTTTCTTAGTAAAGTCCCAGTGTTGGCAGAATTATGGCATCCACCAAGGAGACTGTTATGGGAAGCAGAACTGGAAAACTGGAGACTGAATAATGCACAACTAATTTTGCTCCTATTTACACCTGGTGAACAAACATTGTTGAAATCAAGCCAGGCTATGAATGGTCTGGGGCAGAGAGAGGCAATGTCAAAAGGTATCAAATTCACAGAAGATTTTATCAAGGGATACATAAATTAAAGGAATGTTTCTACAGCAAGATGTTCAATCATACTAAAAATCAGGACATTCAATGAGAAGGTGGCATGAATATTAAATGGGGCAATGCAGTTCTGCCAGTTAGGTCTGTATCTTTGTTTCATTAAGTGTCACTGAGTTGACTGCAAAGTTCCAACAATTCTCCTCATACTGCTGCCTAGAAGACAGGTAAAAATTCGACACTGGAAAACTGGCCACCTGTTCCCCATACAGAGATAAGCCCGACACAAAATCCACCAATGAATGCAATGAAACATCTCTTTCTGGTGGTTCCTTGGGTGGCTTTCTGAGCTAACCACCTGGTAAGCTCCAAGCCTAGGATTCAAGCACCTACCAAAAGTCAGTACCAGAATCTGACTCCCATCAATAGTGGCAAGGGGAGGCTCAGGGTACTAGACTACCTCAATAATCCAAAGGAAAATCACCAGAAAAATAGGATGCAACAAAACAAGCAATGCATGGACAACAGTAACAACCCCTGACACAAACATGCACATGTTCATTAGCACCAAGTGACTACAGGTTAGCAACAATTGACTCACCAGACAACAGCCCCTGCCACCCAAGCGTGCCAACTAACCAACTGCCTTAGTTACATGTCGTCCATACAACAGCTTCTGAATACCACGAAAAAGGAACAAGAGTCACCAAGGGACCCACAAGAAAGAGATATTTCATATTTCATTACATTCAATGCTGGAATTCTAGATCTCTAGCTCCCCCGGCTGAACCAACCAAGCATCCACAAACATAGGACTCCTCCGCAAGCCCGCCATCTCATTCTTCGTCAGAAAAGAAGGAGCAAGCTGCAACCGAACTGAGGACTAAAGAAACAAAACCCCCAGTACTGGAGAAGGACATGAAGCTCTCCAACACGACAACCACAGGCCAAAGCTAACAAAAACAAAGTCTTCCATAAACAATCACGAACTAAAGGGGCCACCACAAACCGAGGTGATGAAAGAAAGGAAAGAACCTGGTCCAAGGACAAAGCAGGCTCAGGCGGCGCATGAGCAGGCCTGAGGTGAAAAAATGTACGAGAAAGCTTGTGGAAGTGACATCCAACCCGCATGCAGGATGAAGCAGCTCCGCCACCACCTAAAGATAAGGAGCGACAGCATTCAGCATGAGATGTTGATCCAGAAAAAGTCAAGAGAGGAAGGACAAAGCAACCCCGTCAGACTCTACAATAACCAACAAAGAAAAAGAAAATGCAGCTTTAGTACACTTCAAATTCTGGCCAATGCACACAAAAAGTGCAGGAACAGCCTCACAAAGCAAAAACACCCCAAAAAAGCAGGAATCGTGGGCAGAGCGACCACTGACCACCAGGCACATCAATCAAGAACTGACCGGTGGTGGCCAGGCTCACCCAGACCCACTCCCTCTCCTTCCCTGGGGGTTAGAGCTAATGAGCAGGGAATGGTTGGATAAAGTTTTACTTGTTTGTATTTTTTATGGGGGGGGGGGTTCCTGTGCTATTTTGAGGGCATAGGTCACATTTTCAACCAACAGTAGTCTGTTTTCAACCAACAGTAGTCTGTTTTGATTCGCCTACCTAAATGGGTGCCTTCCCTGGTCGCTGGCAAGATGATAAACTTTAAATGTAAAGTGTTCAGGTGCCATTGCTCCCTGTGCCTCTCTGAGAGGGGCCAGGTTCTGGTTCATGGTCTCCAGTAGGAATACAAGAACTCTGCAACTCATGACTCCAAGTACGTAGTGTGGCACTTAATTAGTAAGCTAGCTTCAGGGAGTCAACAGAGCTTCCCACAGAAAACTAGTGTTGAGTGTAATGAAACAACAGTTTCTGGGTGAGCCCCGGAGGGTCCCTGAAGCTATCTATACTGATTAAGTGCAATACTATTTAGAGTATGGCACTTCTGCGAGTCGTCACTCACAGAATTCTTGTACGCCTACCGGAGACCACCAGCCAGAACCTGACCCCCCTCAGAGAGGCACTGGGAGCAATGGCACATGAACACTTTACATTTAAAGTTTGTCATCTTGCCATCAACCAGGAAGGCAAAAAGAACTCCCATACCAAGAAACAACCAAAACTTTGTCCAACTAGCCCCCACTCATTAGCTCCACCCCCCCCCCCCCCCCTCATTGGAAGGGGGGGAAAAACTGGTCCAGATAAGCCGGGCGGCCATCAGCAAAGTCTTGATTGAGAAAAGCCAACGAACGCAAGGAGGAAGGGTGTCAGGGAGCCTTGGGGGCTCACTCAGAAATTGGTGTTTCATGTGCAGGCGATGAGTTACAATAACGTGGCTGAAGTATGTTGACCAGAGCACACACTAGAAGGTGAAGGGACGACGACGTTTCGGTCCGTCCTGAACCATTCTCAAGTCGATTCTTTTGGTGTTTCATTACATTCAACACTGGTTCCCTGGGAGAAGCCCTATGAGGTTCCCTAAAGCTAACTACACATGGAAAAGAATGAGAGGGCACACACCAGGGAGGAGGAAGTACCACAAAGAACAAGATAAAAAAAAAAAAAAGACCAACGGCCACGACCCAAGACCACACAAAGCTGCAGAAGGCTTTGTGTGGACACAAAACACCCACAAGACACCTGGCTGCTGGGACCCTGTGTGATCCCAAAAATCCCCGTGCCCAAAGAATGGCCCAAGAATGAGGAGCAAAGAGTGCCAAAAGATCGGCATACAGAAGCACATCAAAGGCACAAGTTAAATTAGAAGGCTGCAGGCTGGCTAGAACATAAGTCACTGCAGACAACCTGAGAAACATGAGCCCTGGAACATAGAATCCAGAGCGAACCACAAAGAAACCACAGAAACAGAACCAGTGGCACGACTCAAAGGCAAAACATCACTTGAAAAACAGAAGACCATAGCCAGAGCAGCTAGAACAGCTGACAAGGTACACAATGACGGCAGGAAGAGTCATAGCCAGGTTGTCGGGACGACCGCCAGAGTCCTGACAGTCACCAGGTCGAGCCTCTTATTGTTAGGAAGAGTCATGGCCTCAGAGTGGGATCTGCTGCCAGTGGCTGGACGGTCGTCAGCTCGAGCCCACGTCATGAAGTTTGATTAGGAGCCGCAGTAGTCCAGGTGTGGGAGCGTCCTCCGTGGCCTCACAGTCCGCAGGTCCAGACCAAGAAAATTATATCTCCTTAGGAGCTGCAGTAGTCCAGGTGTGGAAGCGTCCTCCGCAGCCTCACATGTCCGCAGGTCAAACCCAATTTATTAACTCTATGGTGGCTGGGTGGTTAGGTGTGTGGCTGTTGTTTTTGAAGTCGCAAATTTAAACTTAATGAGAATAATACTTTTAGTGCTGGGAAGACGGGACACCACAAGCGTAGCTCTCATCCTGTAACTACACTTAGGTAATTACACTTGGGTAATTACAAAACTCTTACACAGGTAAGAGTGCTAATACAGTGGAACCTTGGTTTTAGTGTGCCCCCATTTTCGAATATTTCGGTACTCAAGCTCAATTTCTTCAAAACATTGAATTGTATTTTTGATACATGAAATATATATGAAATAAATTCATCTAAAAGATTTATTTATTTATTTATTTATTTATTTATATACAAGAAGGTACATTGGGGGTTAAGAGAGAACAAAGAAATGAAGTTGATTTTATATTCTTGTAAAGCTACTAGCATGCATAGTGTTTCGGGCAAAGTGGCAAAAGGTGTAACAACAATCACCAAAAGAACACAAACACTTGAGGATGTTGGACAGTTATTACTAATTTGGATAAACAACAAGCATTTAGTGGGTGATAGTATTTCAGAGGCCATCATTTGTGAAAAAGCAAGACTATTGCACGAAGATCTTATAAAGAAAACCCCTGGAACGAGTGATGCAGATACGAAAGAGTTTAAGGTAAGCAGGGGATGGTTTAAGAAATTTCGAAAAAGAAGTGGCATTCATAATGTTGTGAGGAATGGAGAGGGTGCCGGCTCAAACAAACCAGCGGCTGAAAGATTTGTTCACGATTTTAAAAGATTTTGTAGATAGTGAGGGATACATACCAAAATAAGTGTTTAATTGTGACAAGACAGGGCTATTCGAAAAGGACATACATTACCCAGGATGAGGAGACGTCATTGCCCGGACACAAGCATTGGAAAGATAGGCTAACTCTTGTGCTGTGTGGTAATGTGAGTGGCGATTTGAAAATTAAACCCTTGCTTGGGTATCATTCCAAAAATCCAAGGGTTTTCAAGAAATATAATGGCAGAAAAGCAAACTGTGTGTGATATGGAGGGATATTAGTAAGGAATGGGTGACAAGGCAATTTTTTACCGAGTGGGTGAATGAAGTGGTTTGCCCTGCCATCAAAAAATATCTGCAGGAGAA